GTGGCCACTTTCAAAGCCTGTTATATTTTATCAAAACACATATTTTTAGCATGGTTTCTCAAAAGTATATGGAAAAGACAAGCAGACTGCTTGCAGCCAGAATACTCCACCACCGGAGCTTTCAGCTCCTGTGAAGGAATTGTTTTGAAAGCCTGTCTTTAATAATTACATTCAAAGCAAATAACACGGATTAAGTTTTATGCAATTGAACAACTATCAGAAAAATACGTTTTTAATATTTGATTTCAAGCTACCATGTGAGACACTTATTTGACAAAAGTGTCTTTCTTCACCAAACAGTATATATACTCTAAACTTGATTTTTATTTATCACTTTTGTGAGGAATGTTACATTCTACATAATTCTATGATCACATCCTTCTGAAAAAATACTGCTTCCATAATCAAAGCTTTAAATTAAAAGTAAGATTGTCAATAAAATAAAAAAAGCCATGGCACGTGGCTTTTTAAGAGGTTTATTAAAAAAATTAAACACAGTTAACTAGAAAAATAGCCATCGAGTCATAAAACCACAGAAAAGTGCAGACAATGTAAAATAAGCTACTGTTTCAGGTTATTTTTTTATTTTTAAGCAATGTTCTTTTGTTGCAGCTTTTTAATTTTTAGTTTTACCACAAGTATTTTGAAATAAAAATTTGATAGTAGATGTTTTATTTACAGTAAATTATAAAAACATTAAATAAAAAGTACAAAAAAGTAAAGCTTAGACTAAATCGTCATAATTCACAAACTGCAAATAGTAAAAAAATACAGTATATAAATACAGGCATTCGCCAAGCATTTGAACAGATTACACAAGTTAGAAAACAAAAAAGTATCAATTTAAAATAGATGTTTTTTTTCCTTTTTCTTAGTGATTTTGCTAAAATTAGTATCATCTCACTGTAAAAAAAGTTTTTTTTGTTCAAGAGAAAAACTCTGGTAAGATCACAGAATCCAAAATAATTTTCAATTGATTGCTTAAAATAAGGCGCTAATTTCAATTAGCCATAGCCTAGATCGCAATTTACATGAGTGCTCGTAATTAATCTAATTTTGCAGACCTGAATGTTAAGGGAATGAAGAATGACAGCTCTTTAATGTGTCAGAAACGGAAGGAGGAAGTGGTGGGAAAGCATCCCTGAATCATTTTTCTTAAATAAGTGGTGGGTTTAAAGCACAGAATACTACATAAACCCACAGGCCTGCCATATCAATTGCAGTCTGTGGAGGTAAGTTAGAAATCTTAGACGTTATTCTCTTTTTAAAACACCTAAATTTCCTAAAATCCCATACGGTGTTCTCGCAATCTGAGAGTCTGCAGTGAACACAATTTTAAAAAGCATGTACATTGTTGTGTGCTCATGCATCACATCTTTCTCCATCAGTCAAAGTAACACTGAACCCCAATTTATAAATTCAAGTCCACTCTTGATTATTCCCAATTGACACTTCACTTAAATGTGGCAGGGAGCTACAGTATAGATAATTGACAAGGTGCATGCACTTTTAGGTGTAAGACACTAAAATAGCAAGTTGAAATCTCATCTTGTCTCTAAAGTGGCCAAATTTCATCCATCCAAGTACAAACTATGCTGAGTTGCCAGGCTAGGCTGAGGAACTGGCAGGGGTGCACCTGTTTGGCATCCCCATTCCTAAACGTTAAAGTGGGAACACCATCTGTGATCAGTTCCCCTTCTTCAGGAACACCCAATAAGCAGGAGGTCAGGTCAGACAAAGAGAAAAACTATGTTGCAGTCTGTCTTCTGAGGCTGCATTACATTAATAAAACAGTTGAATGAGGTCAAACGAGAACCTGAGAGTTCAATAAAAAATGCCATTGTTAGAACAAACCCCCGCTAAGCAGGAGCTAGGTCAGACTGACCTTTGATCTCATACTGCTCTTAGAGAATAAGCTACTGAGCATTGCAGTTTCAAGACTGTGTGTTTTCACTGTTCAATAAGACGATTTGTATGAGAATTGAATGATAATTGTATTATAATTATAATAAGAAAACAAGGTGTTATTTAAAATTAGTGATGACTGCCACTTTATTATACAAGAAATTCTAGATTTGTTAAGATGTTTTGTCTAAAATGCCCACCTAAAGAACATGACAACGTCTTCAGGGTTTTTGATGATCTAACTACATGACCAGTGCTACCATTAGGAATCTCGAATACAAAAAAAGAGGTATCTTAGACTGGCAAATGTCAAAGAGATTTGCAACCAAGTACTGACTTCTTAAAGTGAAAGCTTACATATGGTTATTTGAAATCGCTGTATATTTAGTCTAATATGTTCTATTGTATGCATGGAATTATACCCCCAAATACATATTATATTGTACTTATCATTAATATTAATTTCATTAATCTTATGGTTACAAATACAAACTGTTTGACTGTGAAGCAAAGATTGGAGCTGACATTTTGCTGTCCTGATATATTTGGAAGGGACTGTATGCACAGAGAGATTTTTAGAAGGTATACAGTAAATGCTCTTTTGTACCAGAGAAACTGCTTACACTATACAGTATGTATACTCATACAGGAATGTAAACATTGATCAAGAAACAAATCAAAATGATGGAAATACTGTAGATGTGCTCCTTAGCCTTGGGGATGCAAGAATTATAAAAGTAGAAGCTGATTGTTAAGATTAACAAGATGTCGTCTCCATGCTGCTGGCTGTCTTTCATCTGAAACTATACACCATCTTTCATTTATATTACTGATGTGCCTGTCTGTCCAGAGTAACGGAATATCACCACTAGGTACTGTAACTAGTGTCTTCAAGATGTCATCTCACTGGAAAATCTGACATTCTGAAGAATTTTTTAAACTAAGAAATGTTATTCATATCACTGTCTTCTATGCTTTAGGTGTTTTTTTTTCAGGAATACAAAATGGAGGGGGCTGGAACTTACATTTATTTTTTCTGTTTAGTAGTTTTTCCACTCCCCACCTCAGCACTGTAGTCTGATTTTCTAACTTCATTTTGTGAATATGAGTCACCACCTTGATGTTATAAACCTCATAGTTAACTCTAGTACTAAAACAAAGTTGTTTTTACTAAGCATTAAATGTTGACAGTTGCTAAAAAATGCATCTGTCCTGCTTTTTGACACTGTACAGTTTAAGAGATTCTTCCCAATGTTTTGTGAAAGAAAGGAAAGCAGCTCTTAGTTTAAAAAATGTTGTATGTCAGCTTTATCACATCCAAACAGCCATGTTTTGAAGTTTTGTTTAAACTCTAATGTCAGGTTCGCAGATTCATGATTTTCTACCTTTGATATGCTGCAAAACAGGCAGCCTTGATCAATTTGGAAAACTCCAACTTTAGAAATACTGGACATACAATATTGTATTGCATTCCGGAAGACAGATGTTTGTAATATTTAAGACCAGTATTAACGGAATGTTTATTGTAACCTTGAAACAGCACCTTAAGAACAAAATTAAGCATGAGATTAACTAAGATTATTGGTGGATTTGTTGGGGTTATCAAACCTGATCAGATTCCTGATTTTCAGGGTTAGTCAATAAGCTGTTACAACAAATACCTACAATAATAAAGTTCTTCTCTGGCATTCCTTATAGAACAAAACACAAGAAGTTCACAGACAGAATTTACAATTAAGAGATTTACTTCAACACCACAAATTTCCTTTGCCAAACATGGAAGGAAAATGGGGCCCATTGTGCTTTTAGTGCTAATGACAAAACACAAATGGCTGGAGGCTTGCTTTACCAGACTGCACTGACCCCTACTGTTCAGATACTCCTCCAGTGCCAGTTAACTCGGTTTTCATCATAAATGGTTTTATTTATCCAACAGTGAAGGACAATTGCAGAAAGGCTACAGTGGGCATGATCAAAATCACTGCCCATCACCGAAGGGGCCAGAGCCAAAAACTAAATACATGCTATGCAGAAAGGCTGCTTCAATATACACTGTAGCAAAGACAAATGTAGTCGCTTTCATTGTTAGGAAGTTGGAAGGAAGAAAATATCACGGACAGGACTGTTTCAAGTACCATGAAGGGTTACATAAATTTGTGGGACAAATTAATGAGTGCACTAATATCACAGGCTCTTATTTTCTGGACTATTATGGAATGGCACTGGAAAAAAATCACTTTCAGAAGCCTCTCAGAGTAATACTCAAAGGAAATGGGGATTGCTTTACTAGTATGAACTGTACATTATAGGACAACAGGAGTTGGTGCACTCAGTGAGGCCCCCTAGTTAAATTCACCTTGATGAAATAGTAGAGGAATGATATTAAAGTTGGACTTGTTCAACTTAAACCTAGGAAAACCAGTGTTGTGCATAAGATTTTGGTCAAAATACAGAAAGTTCATACAAGAAATGAGCAGACCTGAAGTCAAAGGTTACCTATAATAAGGTTTGGATTCTGCAATATTCAGCTCAACTCCTTCATTGTCAGGTTCACCGTAACATGATCTTGGAAATAATCCATAAACTACAGGCATGTAGAAAGGAGATGGGAAAACCCTTACAAAACAGCAGGTGAAAACAAGGCTTTACTAATCGCCTGCTGTAACATTTACACCAGTGTACTGTATCTTTGAAACCAAGGCTGGAGTATTGGCTCACTACCACAGTGGATTAACACACCTATGAATGCTCCTGTTTGTTCCTGTCAAATGGAGAGGAGCTTTCCTGTGAGTAGACATCTTGTTAATTTCACTAAATCTGCCAATGAGTTACTAATTAGAGCTTAAAAGGAGCCATGCAAAAGTAAAACCATCAGTATGTTCAAAGTTCAAAACTTTTGATGCAGCACTTTCTGTTCATGTCAGGGTCAGGGTGATGAAACTTACTTCGGCAAAATATTCCTCAGATTTAAAACATTTGGTTTATACACTGACAAATACAGCTTACATGGCTTTAGGTTCGGCAGTCACTTAATCACATGATTTGTAAAAGTCTACTGTTGTTGCATTGAAATAAGCCGATATCATCTGACTCACCAGTGTTTATGATGCTCACGTACATTTACAGTATTGGCTCAACTCTGGGGCAGCAGTGTCAGCATCTCCACTGAAAGAGAAGACTTTGCAGTTCAGGACTTGGAGGTTTGGTTTCCCCAGCTCTGGAAATCGAGCTTTATTTGAAGAGGAAAACAGTGCTCTACATGTCTTCTTTCTTTTAATTTTAGTGTTTGACTTTAATCACACTGCGCCTTTTTTCTGCCAAGTATTAGGCCTGTGTTTGTCATTTCACGAAGATAGAATTAAGAAATGAGGAATTGAATCACTTCCATAAATGTCAAACTGTGCCGGAATCCGCAAAAATTGTCATATCATCAGAAGAGTAATAAAAGTCATCAGTGTGGGCTGAGGGAGCTGTAATTCCTTCAGGAGAACTTTTTACACAGGCAGGAAGATTTCCTCGCTTCTAATCAGCCCAGGGGCACTGAAACGGATTCTCTGTCAAAAACTGGGAAGTTGACCAAGGAAATCCTATTACTCAGATCAGCAGCTGCAGAAATGGGTAGTCAATACAAAATTTTAAATTCTTTTATATTCACAAGAATTGAGGGGGGAGAGGGGGGTGGGCACAAACAATTTTAACCCATAGGGTGTTTTCATTTTTTTAAAATCATCAACTTTAATTTTACTTGCATGTGTATGTCAAACAAGGTGAGTATGTTGTACAATAGGATAGATAAAAAAGACCCAGCGAAGCTTATAATACTTATTTCTTACAGTCTGAACTGTAATGACACTGATGAAAGTTATGCCTGTTTTGAAAGATGCAGAGTTTTTCAACTTATAACACAGTAAACATTTGCCATGTGTAAGCTGCATTGGTCTGGTGTAGTTCTTGTGGACTGTAGGCCTGCAAAGAAAAAGTATTTAAAATAAAGCTGTATTTTCCATTATCCATCCTTCCATTTTCTAACCATGTTATTCAATACAGATTCGCAGGAGAACGACAGCCTAACCAGGTATGCAACAGGCACAAAGCAGGATACTGTACACCCTGAAAGGGATGCCAGTCCATCGCAGTGTGCACACAAACACGCACTCACATTAGGACTCATTTTCCCCAAAGCCAAGTAACCTACCAGTATTTTTTTGGAGTGTGGGAGGAAACCAGACTACCCAGAGGAAACTCATGTGAACATAAAAACGCAACACAGATAGCATACCAGGAATTGAACCCAGGGCCCCATCTCAGCATGGAAACAATGCTAACCACTGCACTACCATGCCACCACATTGTCTGTCATCCATCTATATCCTTGATTCAACAGGGAACTACCTGAAACTGAACATTCGCAACCAAGGTTCCAGAGTCTGAACAGAATTTATTATTTGAGTACTTCAGATTCATTCATCCATTGTGAACTGACTCTGGAGTCTTGTTTGTGAATATGTTCTCAACCCCAGCACTCGAAAAATAAACTTGTATTTTTGTAATCTGATGTGAATAATAAAGTAAATGGCAGCTTACCAGACCTAAAATAAGAATCAAATTTAAAGCCATCTAAAGAAGGTAATTTGGAAGTACTCTAAAATTCAGAGGGTTGGGCACAAGCAATCAAGCCCCAGTCACTGGCTGAAAAGGCAAGCTTGTTCATTCAGCTCCAAAAGAAACAGGCACACTGACAAGGCACAAGCACATGTCCTTAGTTCTCATCACTCCTGTGAGCTTGTTGGTTACATTGTCTACTCCTGTCTTCTGTTTCCACATTGCCAACCATACCAGAGCAGACTGAACGTCACCACACACCCCATCTGCAACACACCCAAGCAGACTGGACGCAAGAACACACCCCATCTGCAACACACCCAAGCAGACTGGACACCAGCACGTACCCCATCTGCAACACACGCACGCAGACTGATTGCCAGCACACACCCTGTCTGCAACAGACACATGAGCAGACTGGACGCCAGCACACACACCATTGGCAACACAACCAAGCAGACTGGACGCCAGCACATACCCCATGTGCAACTTAAATTAGTAGACTGGATGTCAGCACATACTCCATATGCAACACACCCACGCAGACTGGATGCCAGCACACACACCCCATCTGCAACACACCCGAGCAGACTGGACGCCACCACATACCCCATCTGCAACACACACAAGCAGTTTGGATGCCAGCACACACCCCATCTGCAACATACATGAACAGACAGGAAGTCAGTGCACACACCAACTGCAATGCAAAACACTAGAGCCAATAGACTGGACACCAGCACATACCACATCTACAACACACCCAATCAGACTGGACGCCAGCATTCCCCTAGTCTGCCAAAGCAGACTGGATGCGACCATCCTATGACTATTACAACACCAATGTAAAGCTCAGGGGGCAGGCAGGTATCGAAACTCGGAAGCATGCTTCAATGACAAGATCCAGGCCATTAATGTGACTGGAGACTCCATTTCCAGATCACCTGGCACTCGTGAGGTATCCACATGAACACATACACATACATAAACATTTCACTATCTAAACAAAGGCGATAACGCTGGTTTCCAATATAAACAAACTAGTCTGGAATTTCGGGGATAGCTTTGCTTGCTCTGTGGGTGCACACACAGAGTAAAGTAAGCTTGTTCCCCTATTATCAAAATTAATTATTAACTCAAACCAAACACCTGTTCTCCTTTGTTTTAGAAGTGAAATGAACCAAATTGGTGATCAACTCACGTGTTTCAAATAAATAAGCTGTTTGAATTTCTCACCGGCAAAACGGTTTCTCCCACAAACCTGTAGGACCCAAACTTTGGCATGGCAACAGGGGTTGGCTTAGCAGTGCCTGTTTCAAGATTGAGCATGTGTGGATTGATTTGCACAAAGGTACCATTAAAAGGGGGTAGTAATTTCTAAAATAAGAGTTATGTACATAAATGGAGTATGATATTTTATTTTTGGTAATAATATGTTCATTGTTTAATTGTGTACTTAATGAAGAAATGTGTACATCAGAATTCTGATTATTATTTAGTAAATTTTTTTTTGCTTTATAGTGGAATATTCTAGGGGGAGGAGTTTAACCTAGAAAAGGAGCTCTTCAAGATAGGAGGAGAGGGGAGATAGGAGAAAGTGGATTGTAGGGGTAGAATAGGAGCTGCCTACAACAATATTATTTTTTGTATAGTAATTAATGTATATATTATTGTACTATAGCTTTGTGTTGTTTTCTTTTTTTCCCTGGTTAGTTTGTGGTTCTCACTTTGTTTTTTTGGGGTGTGGACTTTGGGAACACTGTTCCTTGTAATGAACACCATTGCACATCTTTGCAATTGTGGCTGTGCCATCGTTATTGTTATATTCTATCTACGCCTCTAAACTCTGCAAGGAGGAGACTGTGACAATTACAATATCAAGTTTTATTCAGAAGAGCCCAAATATTTTGTGTATATGTACAGGATTGAACGTTTTAGAGAAAAACAAGTTTCCTTTTTCCACTCTTTTGGTAAAGCTGGTCTATTTTAAGTTTTAAGTGAAGTTAGTTGAATAGGTGAGGCAGAAGAACAAAGTAATTTGGACCAATCCCCAGTCTACTGATGACAAGAACACTGGAGAAAGAAGCAATAAAGCAATACAGGATGTAAACAATATGTCATCTGTTGTTTTTGCAGGCTCATACACTGAAATTATTTCAGATAGTTCATTCTACAAGGACATTCTTTTGTGGCTTTTACTTGTTCATCATTTAAGGGTGTACTATATTTAACTGAAGATGAGCTAAAAAATACAAATGAAGAACGAGAATTCTTGAATGGCCATAGCTGAACAACCAATGCATTACCCGAAAGTAGTTTATTTTCTTCACTCTTGTCCTCCTCTTGAGTGACAAACAGACATACACACAGAAAAACACTGTACTCTCGTTAATCAACAGAGCAGGATATATGTACAGTCCATTGCACAGAGTTTGAAAACAACTCAGATTCCAAGAAGAGCCTGCATCGGCTACAAACTACAGAATGTGCTTATAAAACGAGATATTTTCGTGTGTCCCTCCCTCCATTTGGTTGCCATTATCCAGCAGGGCGGGAGGAAGTCATGAATCTTCATCCCTAAGGTGTTCCTGTTGACTGAAAAGTAATTCTAAATGGTTAATAATAGAGACACCTGTGAAATCTTTACTTTTTTCGTCTTTAAGCAGTAGTTTAGAAAATTTTAATGTCCTTTCTTACTAGTCAGGTATTCTATAACATATGATGAGAATGGCTTAGCGTGGCTGTTTCTGATTAAATTATGATTTGACATGCTTGTTGTTTGTTTTTTCAGTGTGAATTGTGATTCACCAGTGAATTTCAGTCAACTAAGGTCCTAAACTAACACATGTCCCCATTTAATTTCTTTGATAAACACTTCTAGGAAATCTTTTCTTTTTTTAAGAACACTAAATATGGATAATGGTCACATAGACAGTAGCATCTATAAAAAGTTTGCATGTCATTTTTGGTGAAAACTATGTGTTTAAATTCCTACCCTTTTTACAATCATAGACTCATGGGGTGTGGCTTTGTTCTTGTAAAATCCGCAATGCATTTTGTCAATTGAATTATGCCTTGTATTTCATTATGTGTGAATCATAGTTATTTGCCGTAATCATTACATTTTCCCCTTATTTAATGTGTAAAGCAAAGATTTGTGCAAATTTGGAAAGCAGGGAATGTAACAAGACAGGCATGGAATGAGACAGACAGCATAAATATCTCTTTTAGCACTTTAGAAATATTTCAGCACATTCGTTTAGAGGTTTTATTTTCAAACAACTGCTTTTTGAAACCAAAGATCCGAAATGTGGCTCACAAAAAAAACATAATTTAGTACTGTTTCACGAACTACCATTAGTTTGAAATATCATTGTTAAAATGGAATTTCTTCCAAAAAATAAAAATAAAAATCTAAATGAAAGATTATAAACAGAGGCACACAGTTTAAATGGGGCAAAATGTTTTTCAAAGAAATCTCTAGTGGGTGGTCATGTTATTCTTCCATTTCTAAATCAATAGGTAAGTTTACAGGTTCAATTAAATTCTGCTGTCTAGAGCATCTTTGG